TATTCGAATATGCAAATGAGTTCTATGCAAAGCTGCTTTGTGCAGTGATAAGTAACGCGTATCGAACTGTGCGGAGTTCGAGCGTGTCATTGTTTACAAACAAGCGCCTACCCATGAGCCTTTGCGCATTTAGCGTATGTTGTTATCGGCGTTTGAGACTCAATTCTTGCGCGTGCGCAAATGACGACCCCCCCCCCCCCGCTTTAAATAATGTGACGTAGCGAATGTATAAGTCTAGTTTCAAACGGACCTCGGTGGTCCGATTTACGGTCAATATTACTACACCTTTTTTTCCTTTCTTTTTTAACAAACTACGAGCTTTGGCTTTTGTTGAAAAGGGGAACCAGTTTTCTGGTTGAACGGAGTGCGGAACAGCGAAAATAACAGTCGTTTATTTACCTGTATATGCGACAATCAATCTGTTTGCGCTTGACAAGAACATGTTTCTGACAGTAGAACGATCATACATTGAAATGTTTGACAATGACTATTGTTGATCCGTACAAAGGCATTTAGACTTTTGCTGGGTTTCAAGGCGAATGTGTTATGTAACACGCGCATTGTTAGCCCTGCGTACAGTGTGCTGTGTGTACGGGGACGCGTTCGGTTGATTAGATGTCCCCACCACAGCCCTGCGTACCTCCATAGACAAAGTCTGGGAGCGCACCGTAATTGGTGCGCAAGTTAAAAATAAGTAGTTTCCCAGCCGAAATCGGTTGAAATGACGATAGTTACCCGTAACAACCATTATAAAGTTATCTGAAACTGAAATGTCTTTAACAAAACGACTAGTAATGACGGACAAATTGTAAACGCGTAGGTACCGGAGGAATTATCCACCAAACGCCGCCATTTTTAATTTCATTCACGCGAGAGAATGCGGGCTAATCTGCATTGGCTCGGAAGGTTGTAAATGATTAGCTAGTTTGAATTTGCATAACAATACTGACAATGAACGTGCATTCAACGCCACAAGTTTTTTTGTTTTTTTAGCCAATCAGAATTCATCTTCCGAGCCAGTGCAGATCAGCCGGAGAATGCGTTTGTTTTTATGGGCAAGTAGTCGATTTCATCCAGAATTGTACTCCGAACTGGAGTTCTGGATATATCTGGTAATCGATCATCATT